TTGGCTCACACCTCCGATGGTTTCTCATGGCTAACGCGCGTCGCGTTTTGGAGCCTTCAAGGCCACTGCCTTCGATGAATAGAAAGGTTGTCACGTCCAAGGGGCGAGTCCCCACAGCTGCGGGGCCGATCCACGCTGATGGCCAGAGACTCGGGGATTCGCATCAGCACCTGACATCTGCTGCTCCACACTGGACTCGCGAAAGCGGTGGGCAGCTTTTGCCACTAGCAGCGATAAAATACGCCTCTTTGGTAGGATGTCGTAAGATGATATCGTATAGCAAAATGGATCTGAAATATGTTCTACGCCATAGCATCCTGCAAGTATAGCATGGCGTATCATGGCGTGACACAGCTCATTACATGTGCATGTAACACACATATAGATGCGCCAAATGTATAGCTCCGGCTGACGCACGACGTGCTTTTAGCAACCTCTAAACTGCAGTTTGTGTCCCAATTCCACAGCGGCTTCTGTCGAACCAAGGCCCTATGCTACAGAAGGTGCCACCAAACAAAACCGGCAACAGGCAACCGGGTTCCGGAACCCTGACCAAGCAACGGACCACTGAAGCAGGTCAACAGCTCTGCAGCCTCATGGTCAGGAGTGTGATGAAGAAACAGGAGCAACCTCAGGAGGAACCCGCCTACCCTGGTGGCCGGTCCCAATCCAAAAAGCATGCCGTGCTTTGTCTTGCTTGCTTACGCATGTATCGCAGCCTTGTAGCCAAGCAAACTTCAAGGTCGTTCTGCCACCCCGACTCATTGAGAACCATCCGCAGCCTGTTTGGATGCTGCAATTTTAAGTGGGTCCGTACATATATGCACAAAATGGGAGCAACACATCAAACACCCACAACATTAACCCACGAAAGCCGAACTAAGCAAGTCCACGTTGCCAAACGAGTAGGCTCCCCCTTTACCATTCGAGAACACGACACCCAACCTTTCTGGAGCAATCACTCCAATTGCCGCTGCTTTTGACACGTCGCACATTTGGCAGCAAGCTTTGTGCAACCAACCGGCAATAAATCCATGCCATGCTAAAGCAAGAAAGGGCCAAATCGAGGTCAGCAAGACCAAAAAAGCGGTGCGTCACAACCGTATATCTGGGCTGATTGACGTGTATCGCAGTGGGACCCTCAAAATAATTCTAAGAACAAGGCGAGACGTCACATTCATGGCACAAACCAAGTGTGTCATTCCTAAACACATATCTTGTGCTTCACGAACACATAAAGACACATCTGGAAGAGCTGCCAGCGGATTTGGACGCACCATGTCTGGACCCCTAGCTTGCTTCACGGCTCGGATACTAAACGGATCTCGCGCGCAGGAACTTCCCAGCCCCAGAATGTCTGTGAAGAACGTTCGTTTGCACCCTGCCGCCAAGAGGAACACACGTGCCAAGAACAGTGGGGAAGAAAACATGAAAACATACATGGACAAACTGAAGTCGCTCATGGCCTTTCGGAGCAGGGAAGACTGGGTTGTTTCGAGGGTTCGAGGAAAAACAGGTCCGGTAGCCTTTGGTTGGAGCCGTTGGAGAAGTCAACGAATTGAGGGGTGATGTAGCATGCAAACAAAATAATACGAGAACGACACACTGGCAGGTTCTCGGAGTGCACTGGGCACGCATCCGCTTTTCCCATCCTTTAAACAGCCAGTGTGAACAACACGGTCCAAGGACAGGTGCCTAGTAAATGTAACACCTACACTCCCGCATAAGCAAACTTGTCCCTAGTTACCTGCCTCCGTGTCTTAAAGGATCGCGTTTCAAACGGAGCAGGGGGTATCACCACTACATGTTGCTGATGCTTCTCCAATGCAGTTGAAACGCACGTGCAGGCACGCATACACACACACACACACACACAGACACGCCATGCGTGAAACAACGTACATTTGGTGCCGGAAGACGTCAGTATGTTCCGGTCGGTGATAAAATCTTAGTGGGGTGAATTGTATCATCCATGTTGACAATGGGCTGTAGCCTGAAAAGTAGCACGGAGCCCGCAGCACTTGAACGACTTGCCTTGGCAAGGGAAAACCGCCTGCAGAGGGCTCTGGTCTTTGCAGATTGCCAATCAGGTCTCCACGTCCACATTTTGAAGCCCATTGCGGATCCTGAGCGGCGAAGAAATACGAGAAGCAACAACCAACGCCCGAGAAGTGTCTTCCCCCAAAGCGCCACAACTGCGGAAACGGAAGCAATGTTGAATGACGACTGGAGCCCTGGAGCAACGCGAGAGGCACTCAGCAAATTTCTACAAGACAATAGCTGGAAACGATAGGCCGATAGGCTCCCATTGATTAGTCATTTGCCTAATTACCACACCATGTGCGCAAACCATGAGTACGTTGGTCGCAAGCGCGGCCCGGGGTGTGCTTGTTACGTCCGCGATGGTCGGGACTAAAACGCATGATGGCTTCCTTAGTAGGAGGCCTTGCGGTATCCTGTTAATTGAAGCTCCATGAACAGGCCCACATCGCCCCAGCAATCAGGAGCATCTCCCTCTCTCAAATGGATTGAGGATTGATTGAAAATGAACCCAAGCGAATACGATCCAAGTTTCCATGAGCCTCCCTCCTGAAAGAGACGCCCAGCCTGTTTTGGGGGATCGCCTGCCGAGAATCTCTTGAAAGGACAGCCTCCCCGTGCCGTCCACATCCATCTGGGTAAAAATCCGGTCAAGGGCATCGAGCTGATCTACGCTGACGCGACCCTGGCGCAGCAGCATGTAGAGCTTGAACTCCGCCCTCAGGGCGCCAGCAATCTTTGGGCCAAAGAAACGACGTATGGACACCAACGGGAAGACCTAAGTGAGCATGTTCAAACAGTGGTTTCAAGTGGTGGCTTGCTCGAACTGGTGGCTGGCTCGGCATGACCATCAAGATTCGCCCTCCGAGGTGAAGCAGGGCGAAAATACAGAGGTTTGAATGCTTAGGCTTTGGTCCCTCCTCGCAACGCGTGATGCCTCATGGATGGAAATCGGGACGCGAGCGAGTGTACAAATGCAGCAACTCTACATTCATAAATTCACGTTGGAAGCTCTAGGGACTGAAAAAGGCGATGCTTTGGGACTTTCGGCGGCCGTGACTCTGCCTTGGCGGGAGACTTCTGGGGGTGTGCCGCTTGAGGGGCATGTATGAACTCGATGAACCCAAAGAAAAACCATCAACTCCCTGAGAGTTTGGCTGGAACTCAGGGACGCCCAAGTTGCCTATGTCATCGCCTCGTTTGGATATATATATATATATGTTTGGATATGCGCTGGCATGTGGTTGGTGGTGTTGCTGGCAATACTATAAGAGGCCCTGATTCCAAAGGGGTCTCATGAACAGTACGCGGGGCCAGCCTCGCTAAGCGAGCGGATGCAGCGTCGAAACCGAGAAACAAACAGCTTGGGTTTGACCAGGGTTGGCTCTGAGCTGCAGCTGGCCCAAGGGCTGCCTCCCGGCATCCACCAGAAACCTATCAACCTGCATCACCAGCGTTCAAGCTGTGCTCAGGGCCTGCTTGCGGGGCCCCATGGGGCCCCTGGCTGAATCACACTTGCCAAGCAAGCAAGCAGGCAGGCACGAACGCAGGCAGTCTGCTTGCCCGCTAAAATGTGTCCAGCAGCCCCACGCCTGCTACCAGTTCTGGGCATGTGCTTTTAAACACTTTTTGGGGCCAGGGGACAGAAACATTGCCAAAGGAAACGCTAGAACCACATTGGTATGGGCCTGTTGTATCTACCAGTCCCGGGGTAAGAACAAAAGCTCTGCAAGCGAAACGCACCCGACGGCCCACGCCTGTCCACAACGCCATCTCCATTTGGGTCCAAGCCCTGCCGGAGCAGCCGGAGCTTGTTTCGGTAGTACCTCTGGTGGGCGGAGAGCACCTCGTGTCTCCAAGCCCCGTGGCTTGCAGACAGCCAACCGGAAACCAGAGGTCCGGTTGGGGGTCCTCTGATTTTGAGACACATGTCCATCCAATGTAATGTTGGATCAAACTCAATTCTACGTTGGTCCCTGGAAATGATGGCTGTTCAGATTTTGATTTTGCCCAAGCTTGCCTCGCCCACAGCTGAGACGAGATCTGCAAAGGACAGCACGCCCAGAATCATCCTGGGCCGAGACAGCTGCTTCTTCCTGACTATGAGTGGGTAGCAAAAGACATGGAATCATGGCATGCTTCCATTTTTGGGCATACCCAAAACCATGAATAATGTAGGCCTTGTGCTCCAAGCAATCGTTGACCTAAAATAACTGCCCAAAACAGGTGGGGTGTTTCGGAGTTTCAGTATGATAACGGCACCTTCTAAACAACGAAATGAAACCAAGGCCAGACCAAGCAAAGTGAACAAGCACAGAAAGGGCCCAAGGGGGATGGTATGTGGTTGCGGGTGCCTAGAATCTGAATGCCACGCGCTTTTCATGCAAGAACCGCGTTAGTTGCCAAGAAAATAACATATTGTGGACACGTCCGAACAAGAATTGCAATTCAACAGCAAGTTACAGGATTTCATCTTGATTCGCGGACTTGTTTGTCCTGCAAGCTGCAACCCTCTGCTCAAAGCAACTCGTAGTACTGTGCACCGTTCTCTGTAGGTGAAACTGCAATAAAAATTGCGCAAGGGTCAAAAGTTAGATGCTTTCAGCATTCACACAACAAGCAACAATCGTCCAAGTGCGTGAATTAAACCATACTCAAGCAAAACAGCCATCCTTCTACAGAGGCTTCTACAGCGCCTTCTATTTCCTTCTACAGCGGCCTCTATTTCCTTCTGCAGCGCCTTCTATTTCCTTCTATAACGCGTTCCATTTCCTTCTACAGCACCTTCTATTCAGCGCCTCTTACTTTCTAAAGCGGTCTCCATTTCCCTTTACAGCGCCTTCTATGTCCTTCTACAGCGCCTTCTATTTCCTTCTGCAGCGCCTTCAATTTTCTTTTGCAGCGCCTTCCATTTCCTACAGCGCTCTTATTTCTTTCAACAGAGGTTTCTATTTCCTGCTATAGAGCGTTCTATTTCCTTCTACAGCGCCTTCTTTTCAGCGCCTTTTATTCCCACCTACAGCGCTATTATTTCTTACAGCGCCTTCTACCGCGCCCTCTATTTCCTTCTACAGCGCCTCCAATTTCCTTTTGCAAAGCAATGTATTCCCTTCTACAAAGTTTTTTGTTTCCTTCTACAAAGCCTTTCATTTCCTTCTGCAGCGGTCTCCATTTCCATTTGCAGCGCATTCTATTTCCTTCTGCAAATTTCCTTCTACAGCGCCTTTTATTTCCTTCTACAAAGCCTTTTAGTTCCTTCTATAACGCCTTCTATTCCCCTTTCCAGCGCCTTCTATTTCTTTTTGCAGCGCCCTTTATTTCCTTCTACAGCGCCTTCTATTTCCTTCTGCAGCGTCTTCCATTTCCTTCTACAAAGCAATTCATTTCCTTCTACAGAGCCTTGTCTCCATTTCCTTTTGCAGCGCCTTCTATTTCCTTCTACAACGGTGTCCATTTCCCCTTTACGCGCCTTCCATTTCCTTCTGCAGCGCCTTCTATTTCCTTCTGCATCGCAACAACTTCCTTTTACAGCGCTATTATTCCTTCTACAGAGGTTTCTATTTCCTTCTATAGAGATTTCTATTTCATTCTACAGCGCCTTCTATTTCCTTTTGCAGCGCCTTCCCTTCTACAGCGCCTTTTTATTGCTTCTTTACAGCGCCTTCTATTTCCCTCTGCATATCCTTCTATTTCCTTCTATAGTGTACGTGCATCCGATTTTTTTGTCTTAGTTATATCTTTTTCGCCGTAGTTATCATTTTTTCATTGTGGTTAGAACGCTTGGTTCCGTCGAGACCACTTTGCTTTTGATCTTCGAACATATGCTTGGAAGTGTGGAAATTCGAGCACGGGAATCTTCTCAATTCAGCATCCATTTTGCACAGGACAGTCAAAGGTTCCCCCTGCCCGAGGCAAGCAGGCAAACAAGCAAGCAAGCAGTTGACCAGTCCAACAACGTACCAGCCTACCCACCCACCCAGCCACTCGAAAAAAGCAACCAACCCAGCAAACAAAGCAACAAACCAGACAACAAACAAACAATCGTTGAACAACATGATATAGACCAACTAGCACCAAATTAAGCAATGTATAATTCGGTTTTGGATTGTTTGAAGCTTTGCTCCTTCCCTTCCGAGCGTCCAAATCGAGCCTAAAACCCGCCCCAGGCGGGAGGAGGGCGAATAATCACCGAAGCCCACTGTCGAGAAGGTGGTCACAGCCATGTAAATGGCCTGGCCAAGGATATCTCCAGAACTGGTACTGTACTCCTCCTCGGTATGCTTCGATTACTAAGGTGCATTGTGTAAAGTGGGGGAAGCTTTGTCGAATATATCCTATACGAGTGGCGCAATTCAAGCGACGACACAAAAAGCGGCAAAGCGACGACTGATACAGAGTGTTCACCTCCAACGAAAACTGAAAACGCCCCTGTATGTGCCTACCTCCGTTCCAGATTCATCAAATGATGGCGCATCAAGAACATGCTACTTGTCCGGTTAAACAAAAGAAGCGAGGGCACCAAGCAACAAGACCTTTCCATGCTCAAGGGTGGTATGGAGGCATGGAAGCATCCGAGATGCAAAAATGCTTGGCTCGGACATTTTTGAATACGCCGCGGCACCACATCAGCAAGTTGTCAGTGCCATGCCAAGGGCTATGCAAAAGGGGTATGCACAAACATATCCAAACCAACTCAGAGCCCACTGAACATGCAAAACACCTATTTTGGTTCAACCCAAAACATGTCCCTTGCTTTTCGTTGGGACCCCCTGCCAAACAAGTCAACAAGGGCAGCGGTCGACACCAGCCGACTCGACTCTTCGTGCCTCCATGGTGGACTTGGTGACGCCGTTGGTCTCCAGGCACCGAACCTCCTCGCAGCCTTCCACCCGCGTGTGGCCGTAGGAGCAACTGCAACCCTCCGCCAGCACGAAGTACCACACCCAGGTGGCCACAAAAAAGCCTCGAAGCCGAGTCAGCTTCCATCTAGCTGACTCGAATAGGTGGGGTTTGAAGGGGGTGGTTTTCCCATGCCTCTATAAGAATCAGGTGTTCGAATCCAAACCACCAATCAGGGCTCACCCGAGAGTCAGTGATCCCCTGCCTCTAAAGTTGGACCAGGTTTCAAACACCCGACTCGTTTGTGCGATGTGTGCTGGCTTGACCGGATCACTATATACTTCCATGTGCTTTGAAGTGCCACCAAAAAAATACGTCATAACACGGCACCCTGTGACACGCATACTCTGTCAGGTACGACCATTCCCCTTTCAATTCAGAATGGATTTTCAAGAGGGCACAAACACCAGCCAGGGTTGTAGACATCCTATGGCTGTCGAGGGCAATTGGTGAAATAACAAGGGTCCCGTACAGTACTCCGTAAGACTTGGCCCGATTGGCCCCTGTTGGCTCGCACTGATCCCAGTGTCGTGGTTTCTCCGGACCAAACCCTTACGTAAGAATGGATCGACCAATTTCGACACATCACCCGACCTTGGAATTGTTCCACCCAACCACTGACAGTGCATGACTTGGTTTGGGTAACTGCTAAGTAGGTCTTTCAAAATGGGGAGGACAGCATTTTTTTTCAAAATGGGGAGGACAGCATGGCTTGGCCGCGAAAAGGGAAACCCATGTCCCCTTTAAACTGTAAACATCACAAGCAAAAGGCCACCTGCACAAAGGTTCCTAAATTGGTCAAGGCCCCTCGAAACAAAATAAGAGCCGCTTGTGGGGGATCTACCGCGGGCCCGAAACTGCACGAAGTTAAAACGAGCTGACGGCTCTATCAAAAACAACTTCCTCGTCTAGGCGTCCCTTCAACAGGTCCGCGGCAACTGCGTGCTCAACAGATTTGCCGAAACCCTGTCGCCCTTCCATGGAACCCCAAACACATGAACATAATTTTGGGAAGAACTTTCGCTTGGGGCGGCCTTTCTTAATTGCACGACCCTGGTGTCAACACAAATGGACGTACACACACCTCCATTCCAAGAGAACTTAACGGATGGCACAAGGAAGGAACCGCCTGTCAGGCTTCACGCTGGTGGGACAGAAAAAGTAACGTGGAGGCAAGCAAGTGACTCTTCAGCTGAGCAGCCGAAAGTTGCAACAGCGCCCCAGAAGTGATGCCACAGCGGCTGACAGCCTCTGGCCAAAGGATCCATTATCAAAGGCGTCGGTACCCCGTTCAACTCATGCCCAAAAAAGAAAGAAAACATCCGGCACTCTTCAGGAGCCGTGTAATGTCCACAAGTGTCTGCTGAATTCAGCAAGGCGCCTTGCACATAGAGTCGCGCCGTGAAGGCGTGCTCCAGATGGTGCAGGCTTTCGTCCACTCGCCGACTGGCTGAATGCAACACGTGCTCAGCGCCGTCGTTCACGATCTTGGCCACGATGATGGTCCCAAGCAGCACGTAGACCTCGTCATTCCCGGCTTCTTTCAATGAAGCTGCACAGAATGTTCAGTTCCACCAGTCAGTTTCTTGCTATCCCTCTCTCTCTCTCTCTCTCTCTCTCTCTCTCTCTCTCTC